TTCTTGGGAATAAAATGGCAGGATGGACGTCATCATGTGCCCATGGATTACAACACTGATTGCACAGACCAAGCAGTTTGGAGTCAAACGATGAAAACACTTTATTAGGGAAAAACAGGGTCTTATATACCCAATGCAAACAGTGACACATCACTACATGTGACTTTCTCAACCAATCACATTCGAGTATGTCCAGTGAGCATGCTTGGTGGCGTACCTGGGGACTACAATTCCCATAATTCCTTTTGGCATTCTTCTTGTAGTTGGATACTCTTAACTTCCAAGGGAATAGGGTGCTGTCTTATGGCAGGTGGCACTCCTCCCTTGTTTTAATGCATACGGGTTGTGCTAAAACCAACAGCCCCACATCTGTACTGGTCTTATTCCAGAATTCTGAGGGCAGGGTTTTCAATAGTTCTGATGTCTTCTGTTCACTTCTGGAACTCTCAGTAATCACACTCAGTCCCATAATTATAAAATCCATTCCTTCTGGCAATAAACACTATTATCCATCTAAGGCCTGCAGAAGGTCTCTCTCCAACAAGCACATTGGGGAGTCTCTGCTAATATGAATCTCCCCCATACATTCTTGTTTCCTATTGCTATTAACAAGGGTTCACTCAAATACTTTTCTCCGTGTCCAGTGATTATTAAAGTATTAAAACTTTGTGTGTGGTTACTGACTCTTTTGGATGTAAGTTTAAGAGGGACAATGTGGTCCCCATTTCTACCAGCAATTCAAGGTTGTGACCCTCTGTTGCAGTTCGTGTGGCTTCTAGAGGGTCTCTCAAGGCTGCTCTGTGAAGGTTTCCAGGGCTGAAGATCAACCCCACCCCCCGCTGCCCGTCCCTCGTGGCAGGGACAGGCAGCGGAGGCACCTCTGCCAGGAGACAGACACCACGCAGCACACAGGGAGGCCAGCAGCAAAGAGAGCTTTATTCAAAAATCCCCCAGCTTATATGGGCTGGTGGGGAAAAGAGGGGACTGGTCATTTAGATAGCCAATACAAGGAGAGAATATAATAACTATGGTAACACAGGAACCAATGATAGACAAGTGAGTTATCAGCTTCAAACCCCTGCAATTCACCCTTTCTTATTTATAATAAAGACAACATTTGTAATTTTAATGGGATTTAACAATGAAGATTTTCTAGTTGAGCCTGGGGTAAAGGTTAATATAAAGGTTGATATAAAAATGAGAAAGCGAGTAAGACAATTTGTATTGAACTTGAGAAAACAGGTAATTTTAAGACTTATGTTCCTATTATAAAAAGAGAAATCTCCAAATTAAATTTTACTTGAGTCTGTTTCGGTGACTCTACCCGAGCCAGTTAGGGTGGATTCCAACCCCGGCTACTGACACCTGATCAACTAGGCTAATCCTTGGTTGTTTCAGGAGACCGTTCCACCACGCATACCCCTGATATAGCTTAAGGCTATGGGGTATGTGAGTTGACCCAATAATCTTTCATCTTGGGGACCAAAGCTATCTATTTTCAGGGTTAGAGGGATATAGGAATATGCCAGAGCTGCTCCCATCTTGCACCGGGATGCCAGCTCTGGGCGTTCGCCCGACACAGAACGTTTTCTGTGCTGCAGCTACTCCCCCCTTCACAAAAGGAGTAAAGTCAACCATGCCATATCTGGTCCATTTGACAAAGGCTGATTGGATAGGAAATGGGGATCCCCAGAACGGGAGGTTTTCCTTTACCCCCTGCTCCGGGGGGGTGGCGGTTTTCAGGGTTAGAGGGATATAGGAATATGCCAGAGCTGCTCCCATCTTGCACTGGGACGCCAGCTCTGGGCGTTCGCCCGACACAGAACGTTTTCTGTGCTGCTGCTGCTGCTCCCCCCTTCACAGGAGTAAAGTCAGCCATGCCATATGCGGCCCATTTGACGAACGCTGAGTGGATAGGAAACGGGTATCCCCAGAACAGGAGGCTTTTCTTTACCTCCTGCTCCGGGGAGGGATAGTGCTCCCTCCCCGCCCCCGCCTTTACCCCGCGGCTGCTCATGCCCCCCAGAGAGCGAGCGACGGCGCCGACAGCCAGGTGGCAGGGAAAACAGGCAGAGAGGTTTTTACTTTTACCAGATCTCTACTCCTCACATTTACTTTTGAGTGCATTCTGTGCGTGGAGATTTCTAAATTAATAATAAAGAACAAAAATGCATTAGTTTGGGGGGGGTTGTTGTTGGGTTTCCTTTGTTTTGCTGATCACAGTGTACCCGGGAAAGATCTGTAAAACTGAAGCAACCTGGAAATTAACATATGAACAGTAAAGGAGAAAAACCAGTTTGGGTACTTTGAAGCTAGACTGTAAAGAAAGAAAAAAAAGTTGAGGGAACAGGGTTGGAGGGTGGGCAGGCAGCAGGGGATGGGTTGGCCGCGTGGCTGGAGGTGGGTGGTCTCTCGGTGGTCTCTTGGTGTGCAGAGTGGAGTCGAGTGATCCGGGCGGCGGCGCGGGGCTGGGAAACGGGGGATGGGACGAGCACGGGGGCGGTGCGGCTCTGGGCACGGAGTAGACAGCACAGCCCAGCTCACATTCCGGGAGCAGCAGCCTCCACCTCCTCTTCCTGCGGCAGGGGCGAAGAGAAGCCCCTGCATTGGGGCCGAGCGGGGGTCATTCCAGCGGCGGCGGCTGACGCTGTTTCTGCGGTTCTCGCTCGGCTTTCTCCATCCAGCGGCGGCAGAGACGTGGCGGGCACTTTGAAAATGCTGCTTTTCCGTGCTGGGGACACGTGCTTCGCGTGCAGTCTCTGTTGCTGTGTCGACGCTTACACGGGTTGCCTGCAGCTCCCTTGGCCCTCTGCCCCCCTGGGCTACAGGGTGGGCGTCGTGGCACAGTTCAATCGCCGGGCGCTCAGCAGAGGCGGCACCGCTGTTCAAAAACGTCTCTCCTCCCCGGGAACGCAGAGACAGGATTAGTCAATGGGGGAGGGGGAGCGAGCTGTTATCGTTCCCACTGTTTATATTTTAAAGTATATTTTGAAATTGTTTACCGATTTCGTGGGCGGAGTTCGTGCCGTTGGGCGCCATCTGTTGCAGTTCGTGTGGCTTCTAGAGGGTCTCTCAAGGCTGCTCTGTGAAGGTTTCCAGGGCTGAAGATCAACCCCACCCCCCGCTGCCCGTCCCTCGTGGCAGGGACAGGCAGCGGAGGCACCTCTGCCAGGAGACAGACACCACGCAGCACACAGGGAGGCCAGCAGCAAAGAGAGCTTTATTCA